TCTTCACCTTTGACATGAACATAAGTAACACGTCCTAAGTCATGAAGTCAGGTCTCATGCTTGGTTACCTGCGTGGTGTGGACCTTAACTACAACCCCCAAAGGGTGTTCACTGATTCACTTTCCCACCACGAGCGCGGAAACAACTCTCTCACAGCCATTGTTTACGCGCGGTTGGGTGTATTTTTTCGAGTAAATTGACGGACCCCAGACAAATGAACTCAACGCCTTTGGACACAGATATTGTGTGTGCAGGCTAAGAAGTCCAAAAAGCTGGAAACAGCGGCAGAGGAGGCAGCCCATTCCTTGAGTGTTTGGCAAGAAAGATGCAAGCATAAGAACCCTGCACGTGGACTTCTTTTTTTCCAGTATGTACTTGTGAGAGAGCAGGTTTCATTGTTCACCTTTGGCATGAACAAAAGTAGCAAGTCCTAAGTCATGAACTCAACACCTTTGGACACAGATATTGTGCAGGAGAACAATGGCAAGAATACCAAAAAGCTGGATGCAGCGGTTGGGAAGGCAGATGTTCATATTCGTTTGTTGGCCCATGGCCCAAATTCATGGGGACTGTGCTTTGACTTTTTTGTTAGGGCAAAGAGAAGGATGGAGAGTTTAAGAAAGTGAAGAAGGCCCTTTTGTTATTCAAGAAGGCCCTTAGGGCTATGCACTCCTAAGTCCTAAGTCACAGTGCACCTGTGAGATTTCAGTTCGAATCACCTTTGGACACAGAGATTGCACAGGAGCCAGGACTGGACAATGATTCCCAGAAGCCGGAAGCAGCAGCGGAGCAGGCGGCAATATATATATATATATATATAAATCCTTCTCATAAGTTTTGACTCAGAGTCAACTATGAGGCAAACATTGTGCATATTTACATACAGATTTCAGATCCAAGAGCAAAACCAGCAAACGCCTGCAAACACCTTTGGCAGGTCCAACATGGTGAGGATTCAGGTGGTCAAATGGTGCTGTACAAGGTGGGGCTGATCTGCTTTTTTTTTCCGCAAGTATTACTTGAGGCATTTGGCCGCAACACATGAACAATAATATAAAGGTTGTTCCTTCCTATCCTTCAATCTTTAGAGAGATGCGCAAAAGTCCTAAGTCATACCCTTGCACTGACTGTTTTTTTATTGAGCCCCACCGATATGTGCATGAACTCAATACGCAGGAACCGCAGGCTACGCTCTATGTCATCAATCCGATGGCAGATGGGAGATGTTTCTGGAGTTGTTTGTACCTCTTGTTTGCAAACCCCAAGAGCAAACACGAGTGGTTGTGGTATCCAAGAAATGAGCAGGGCTTTCCTGCCGGAGACCGCCAGAAGAAGGAACAGGCCTTGGTCTTGAACTTTGTTGCAAGCCTGTTGGCCCCTCAGATGAACCATGAAGACCCAGAGAGCCATGGCACTGGTTTCATCAAGTTGATAAACAAGATATATATATATATATGCTTGCAATACCTCGTGTTTGTTGGGGGTAGGATGACCTGGGACGAGTGTTTGTGGTAAATGCCTGAACTCCAAGATGGGTTTGGCGGCCAGTGTATCAGGATAGCAGCGCGATGGTGCAGCGTGTTTGAAAGATTCTACAGCTTCCAGCAGCCGATGGAATCTGATATCAATGATGTCCTTCTCTGGCTGAACTTGAAGCTGGACATTGTCGGGAGGTCGGGCAGCATGCTGCAAAGTGAAGGGGCACTTCATTCAAAGCACGTCTGGACGTTGTCGAATGAAGCTTTGCAAGATATATATATATATGTATGTCCTATGTCACGACTACACATTTCTGAGGCACCCACGCCTCTGTTTGCACATGCATGGCATACAAATATTCCCGCGCGCGTTTCCGAGGAATGTGTCTGTGATGGCGCTGGAGCTGCGGCAAGCCATTTCAGGTTCATATGGAACCCTTCCCTTCACACCGACATTGGTTGCGATGTTGAGCAGGCCCTGTAGAATCAAAGTGCATCCTGTTGGGTTTGTACAGCTATTGATGCATGACATGGGAATTGTTGGCGCAGGTGAGGAAGTTCTTCCCGCAGTTGACTGTAGAGGCAACTGGCTGCAAGCACATGTTCAACGGCGGAAGAGTGATCGAGTACAGTGTCCCGAGCCAATCTGATACTGTGCTACTAAGCGCCATGATGGTGGATCTATATCGCTCGGGTGTAGCAGGCGAAGAAGAAAAACTGAAACAACTCTCCTTGATGCTCAAATGCACACCAGAGAAAACATAGATATACATATATATATATGTGTATGTTGCCTCCTCCATTCTTCAAATCATGTAGATAGCATAGCGGATGACCTGGAACTCAGGACAGAGCTGAAGAAAGCATGTAAGAAGTGGCACGTGAAGCCGACGGGATCATCTCAAGACTTGATCAATGGTATCCTCCTAGAATGGATGCAAAGTGCTCATATGGTAGACCTTCTGCACTTTCCTCGAGCTGACAACAAGGACCCAAGATAATGCTGGTTTGCGGAAGTCGGTTTTTGTTGATATTGGCATATATATATATATTATATGGGTGACAGTCCATGCTTCTCTAGGAGAAGGCTGATGTTGCGATGAAGCCAAAGCCTGGGATG